TAAAAAAAAAAAAAAAAAAAAAACAAAGAAGAAGAAAAAAGGTGAAACGTCAAAAGTAATAAAAATAGGAAAAACCGAGGATCCAAAACACACACGTTTGAGTCTCTGAGGGTGTTTCAGTAGAGCATCTTTTCCGAGGTTTTTGTTACAGACTTTTTTTTTTTTTTTTTCTTGTTCCAAATTCTTTTCTCAAACATCATTCATACCCCCAGAGATGTTATAGATTGAACTCCTCCAAACACGTTTTTTTTTTTCCCTTTCCTTTTCTTTGGGATTTGCATGGTGGAAGTCGTTGACAACCATCAGATTGATGGGCACGCCACCTACACTTTTTTTTTTCTCTCTCTCTAAGGCATGCCTCCTTCACAGGCCATTTTTTAGAGCTCTGGTGAACTTTTTATTCCCCATCAGCTAGCTTCCACAACAACTTCTACAAGAAGATCAGGGTGGAAGGCACTCGGGGGGGGCCGGGGGGGAACATATTACAAAATATAATAAATAAATAAAATATAGTAAACATCATAAATAAATAAACTAAAACAAATCAACATCATAATTGGCGGCCAACTGAAGAGGCCGGTAACTGGTGGCCAGCTGAAGCGTAGAGAGCTTGTGCCAGCAGGCTTGGCCAGCGGCCCTGTCGTCCTGGCCATTGTTCTCCATAATCATTTTATGATAATTTTATGATAATTTTATGATACTTTTATGATAATTTTACAATAACTTTATGATAATCTTCTGATAAATCTGCGATAATATCATGATAATATTAACAAAATTTTATGATAATTTTATTACGCTGCGGTGATGCAAGTGTATCAAGTCGCTATGTGTATGTCGGGCTGTGTTATGCTCTCCTCCTGGCTGAACCTCATTCTGCTCTTGCAATGAATATAGTCCATCTTTCCAATTGAATACACTTCATGCTGACCTATCATGTCGCATCATAAATCTTGATTCCTGAACAACGACAACAGACAAGCTCTACCAAATGGAACCCACCCATTATCCTAAGGATCCAGGCCTCAGTTTGGTCGCAGAGAAAGCCCCCCCCCCCCCCCCCATACCTCGCCCTTGGCCGGCGCAAAAACCTTCCCCCCTCCCCAGATATGAAGGCTTGGATACCCCACCCTCTTGAGGGCGCCTTGGCCTGACATCTAGTTCCGTCTTTGATGGCGGCAAGGCAAATGCAAGGAATATGAGTGTGAACGATATACAGAAAACCAATGTTGCGAAATCACACAGATGTCCAGGTAGTCGTATCCAAGCAGAGAGTACAAAATGCACCGAGAAACCATCCATATAGAGCAATACAATGAAGTAACGAGCCAATGATCAAGCCCGTAGGCCACACCAGCACAGTATCCAAAGTCGCTCCTCTTTGTCTGGCGCCCAGCGCCCAGCCTACTCTGCCCGACTGTCCTACCTACAGCTGGTTCACGCAACAGGCTCACTTCGAGTCTCGAAGACAAATGTACATCACTGTCAACTCCATAGCCGACCTCTCTTCATGCACCAGGTACGTATCTCGTCACCCTCAATCAGACCTTGATTACCCCACACTGCGCCTCCTTCCCTGAAGACCACGAGATCACCCGCTGTAACCCCTGGCGCCCAGCAGCCCGGCTATGGCCCCCTGCGCCCCGCTGCCCTGCAGCGCCCCACTTCACCACTACGCGCCCTGTCAGCGCCCTTGGCAGCAGCGCAGCATCAAGCCATAGCACAACAGCACTTCCGCACTGCCTGCACTGGCCAGCATGCCTGGCCTGGACTGCCCTACTCCTTTTGTGGAAGTGGCAGCCTCCTGGATGCTGCGTGTGGCCTGGCTGGAAGCTTCCAGTAGCTTCCGGTTGGGCCTCAGACACTGCGCCCAGGCCCGAGACTACAGTTGTGCACGGCCTGAGTCTCCGGACTTGGGCTGTTTGCTGCATCTGTGCAGGGCTCCCAGGCAGGTGTGTCGGCAGTACTGCTTTTGCAAAGGCCGATGGCTTGCTTCCCAATGTTTCGGCCTTGCTTTGTGTGTATGTGCCCAGGCGCAACTGTCAAGGCCTGGGCCAACTGTATGACGCAGCTGTGTGAGGCTCACACGTCTATCCAACCAACTACGGCGTGCTCCGAGAGCCTGAATACCCGCATATGGAAATGTCGAATTTTGCCTCTGACGAATATTCAGGCCCGCCTTCACTTAGGGCGGGCACTCGGCTTGCTGGGGGCCTTAGCGCAGATCATGTGATTTCTGATAGGGCCCTTCAGGGCTTGTTCCTCACACAAAGCCCTTCCGGCCATTAATTAGAAAAAAATGAGTTGACGGCCGGGCAAGGAGGTCTCCCTGCCGCTAATTAGGAAAACTGAGCTGATGCCGGGACAAGGCAGAGGCCAAGGCAGAGGCCTTCCTGGCATTATTTGGAAAAACTGAGCTGATGGCAGGAACAACCAACCGCCCCCGTCAACTCCAAAACGGTCGGCGGGTCACAGAAACTGCTCAGCACTGCCATAGCCAATCATTACCAACCCATACAAAGCCCCCTCTTCCCTTCTTCCCTTCCCCTTCCCTCTCTCCCCTTCCGCCCCTCTTGAACATATAGCCGTCATCTTAACAAGAACTCTGACGACACAGTCATTGACAGCCCATCATTTTTCGTCCTTTCTCCTTTCCTGTATACGGTTCACTGAGCACTTTCCCCATCTCCTCTCTCTCTCTCTCTCTCTCTCTCTCTCTCTCTCTCTCTCCATATATATATGTCCTCTTCTCCCTCTCTGCCTACGGTTTACCATACCAGGCAGTTCTGTTTTGACGATGTTTATGTGTATATATCGTCAAATAGAACTGCCCGGTAAACCGTAGGCAGAGAGGGAGAAGAGGACAACAAACGAGGCCACATCACTACAAACTAAAAGAGCGCACTTTGCGGAACAAAGAATAAAAGCAAAAAACGGGCACAGTGATAACATGCAAAAATAAAAAGAAAAAGAAAAA